CCTATTTGGTTACCATACTTTATATACTGAGAAGGGGAACTGATTTGTAATTTCATAGATTATTTGGCTTTTAACTGCCTTGAAAGAAATTGACCTTTGTTCTAGCCGTATCTCAGAGTGACCATTGTCATGATGAGTCTCTGTATTGCAAATAAGTAAATTTACAGATTAAGGATTTTGGAATCTTGTCGTCAAGTTGTAAATGAAAATAAACGTCCCAAGTTTTACTCTTTTTACACCAGTATTGATTAATTGAGTCTTAAGCAAGTATTTGGCTATTTAACTGCCAAGTAAGAGAAGCTGTTACAAATCCAGTTCCGTTACTATGGTTCTTATCCTTTAGATTATTCTTAAACTAGAAACCAATATAGGATGATAGTTTATTTAAATACCGGTCACAGTATTAAGTTGCCTGTTGCACAGAGCGAGAAAGGTTGGTGGAACATTTTAGATGACATCTGTGGCATATAAGATGAAGAGACCTAGCGTGTATATTAGTTATCCATTTTAAAAATATTATACCAAATGTATATTGGTATGGCACGTTTTGGAAGCTTTTTCATAAAGTTCTGTTACAGTTTCCAAATTTGTGGAAGGATGCATTTATGAAAAAATCTGTCAAAACCATTTCAAGAAAATTTTCTTTTTATGATAGATATGGACTTCTGATTCAATTTGAAGTTTCTACATATGTTGAGCACCCGCTATTTGCCAAGAATTGCTCTAGGTGACCTATTAAAAACGGTTCTTGCTCTCTTGGAGAGCTTACGTTCTAGTAGGGAGGCTTAATAAATAAATGATCCAGTAGTATGTTAGCAGGTGATAAATGCTATGGGAGAAAATAAGGGGAATTTTGTTGTTGCAGTTTTAGAGTGGGTAGGGTAGAGATCTTATTGATAAGGTGACATTTTGAGGAAAATAATTGGAATCACTCTGCTGTGTTGAAAATAGATTATAGAACAAGGGTAGAATCAGGGAGGCAAGTTAGAGGCCATCGCAGTAATCCAGGGGGGAGATGATGGTGTTTTGGATCAGGGTGGTAATGAAGGAAGTAAAGAAAAGTGAAGAGAGTTTAGATATTGTTTGAAGGCATAGCCGAAGGGATTTTCTGACTAAATGTGTGGATTGGCTATTGAGAGGAAGAGTAAAGGATATCAGCGAGGTAGACCCGCTTCTAAACATTTGCAGTCCCAGGACAAGAGTACAAATAGAGATGCCATATGTTTGAATATTTAAGTTTGTTAGATAAAAATACGTCCAATGCTCCTATTTTGATATAGATAATATATGCCTTTATAAGGACCTGGAAGGCCAGGTTTAAATGTCAAATTCTGAGTCTGGTGCCAGAACACAACTTGTGGGCGGAGCTGGTTCTCATTCGTGGCCCACCTCCCTTCTCTTCCCACCCCTGGCTCTAAACTGTATAGCAAGGGGCCCTCTGCGCGTTTGTGTGGACACGTCAGCATTCTGTCCACTCTCCCTACAGATCAGTGCATATACTGGTGGCGTAATATATTCCCTGGAGCAGTCCCTAGGGAAGAGGCACTGGAAAGAATCTAGAGGTCATTTCAGAATGGGATTTGGAATCCTGAGTACCTGGAGTGGAGTGTAGAATGAGGGCTGTGAGCTTCCAGATGGGCATGTCATTTTGGCTCCTCTAAAGTGCAAGATCTCTCTAAAGCTCAGGGCCCTGGGTTAGGACTGCTCTTGGCCTGATTTGAGAGCAGTACAGGGTTTTTGGCCTGAGCAACTGTACAGGGGGGATTGCGATCAACTGAGAAGGGGAAAGCCTTCAGGTAGAACAGGTAAGAGTGAAGGTTTGAGATCAGGAGTTCAGTTTGGGTGCTCATACGTTTCAGTTATCTGTTAGACATCAAAGTGGTACTGTAGAAAAGTGTAAGTGGAAACTGATCAACTTATAGTAGCAATGGGTTCGGATATATCAAAACTGAAGGCTGTTTCAATTTTGAAGATTGTAGTTGAACTACAACTGTTCTAATCAGCTAAAGCTCCTGAAGAACCAAGAACTTTAAGTGATCCTGGTACTTCAGAGGCTTATTGGAACAGTTCCATCCAGTGAACAATGGGGCTTGTTTTAAGCAATTGTGTATAGCCTATGGATTCCTCCATCTTATCCACAGAGCAAAAGCTCTATGAATCCCACTTTCTAGGACTTAAAATTGCCTCAGACATTTCTCTCTGGTGAATTACTTGGTGAATGTTTTCAGTAGTATGTGTTCCCTTGCCTGGCATGTTAGTATTCTTATTTTAAAACTTCAGTGATCTTTGTTTTATTCTTTGACAATAAGCTGTTACCGTACAAGTTGGAGACATGAATTTGGGAGTCGTTGGCATAGAGATGATACTAAAAATGATGAGACTGCATGAGATCACCAAGGGAGTGAATGTATGTAAAGAGGACTAAGGACTGAAAACAGGTGTGGTCCACTCCAACATTAAAGGATGGGAGAAGAGGGAGATCTTCTAGAAGAGACTGAAACAGTGACCAGGGAGGTAGAAGGAAAATTGAGAGTGATGTCCTAGAAGCCAATGAAGAACTGTGTCAAAGATGAGAAATTGTGTCAAATGCTGCCAATAGGGCAAGTACGACTTTGATGCTGACAGCTAGAAAATGCAGTTTGAATTAGCCATTTCAGATTCACCAAAGCAATGATTGTTTTAGCTAGTTTCCTAAACTTTAAAAATGTTTGACATTTGTAGGTTTTCATTATGTGTGCAGCCAAAATTCTGTTTTTTTTAGGAATAGTTAACTTGCTTACAATGCATTTTGTGTGAATTTATTTCACTGTCTTAAAAAATTGGCAAATATGACCATTTTAGTGAGTTGGTGGTGACTGCTGAAATAAATCAAGAGCAAAGTTGTCACTGATGTATGAGATTCCTATACTACTAAGATTTCCAGTCATCAATGCATTGTGGTGAGAAAGGGCACATTGAGCTACTCAAAAAATTACCAAGTTGTGAGATACCCAACTGGAAATTTCTGAATTTTAGTTTCTTGTTAATAATAAAACAGGTGATTTTGAAAATTGTGCTGGTTGTTTAGACATTGTGGAATAATTTAGGACAACAGAATGCATTTATTGCATAAGTATAAACTGCAGAAGTTAGGGTAACACCAAACATACATGAATTTCTCCTAAGAAATAACGGCTTGGCTTCCAGATCTCATTTTTTTACCCAATCAAGTTTGCATTTCTGTATAAAAATTTTTTTTCCCATCTACACCTGCCTTCAGACACTCTGAATTGCAGATTTAAAGTATCATTTCCAAATGAGTAAGAGGGACATTCTGTTAAAAGGATGAACAGCTGCTCATGCAGAAATTCTCTGGAATGCTCACTTGTCCTACAAAGGCAGATAAACAAACAGATGTTAGGTGTAGTGTTTGTCATTGCTAACAGAATTATTAGTCATTTTAAATGTAATTTTACAAGAAATCTTTACCTGATTTTATTAATTTCCTTTCTCCTGAAAAGACTGCTCATCAGCAATGAGAAGATCCTCAGCATCGCACAAAGTGCAATTCAGTGGAATTAAGGATTGTGCTGGAATTTCATATTTGCTAAGACATTGTTCCTTAGATTAAGATTCAGGACCCTCCCATGTTTAAAAGTTATCCTTTGTTCTCCACTACCTTCAGGATTAAGTTCTTATTTCTTAGCATGACACAAAGGCCTTCGGAATTTGACTCTTGCTCACCTCTCCAAGCTCATCTCTCACTTCCTTTTCCCCCTTTACTTTGTTCCAGCCATACAAAACTAGCAGATGAGCTAAACTCTCCCTTCTTCCTCCTTGTGTACAAGCAGCAGCCTTTTCTCTTAACTTGCCCAACTCTGTCTGAGGTGTCTACCCCTGGCTTATGTCTTGTGATTATTTCTCTCTAGTTGGTGTTCTGTGTTTACTTACTGGATGAATTTCCTCACCAAGAGGCTTGGTCTTGGCTTATACTCTTTATTCTTCCTTACTTCTTGGAAGCAGCTTATATGAAAGTTCTGTTTAAAGGAGGAGTAGGAGGAAACTAGGGCCAAGTACTGCATCACCTTCCCCCGGTCACACACAAATAAATGATAACAAAACAGAGATGACCTGTGAGGCTTTTGCAAAGAGGGAGACACGGAGGCAGAGATCTGGCGTTTGGAGGGCTAAACTGTTCCAAGTGTGGGGTTTCTTAGCACCGGAGTTCCCTCAGTTTGTAATTAGAAAATTGAGTTAAATGTTGTAAGAGATGTTGCCGACTGCTCGGCTGGGTCAAGCAGGAAGCTGAGAAGCTTGTGTACGGGATCGAGAAGATAGGTTAGTGTTTGCTCCTGGATCGAGAAAAGGAAGGCGAGAAGCCTGCTCAAGTGTTGTGAGTTCACCTTTCTCTACGCCTTCCAAACGGGACAGGCGGTAGCGCTATTGCTTTGATTTAACTTGCTCTCTCTGGTCCAAGAAGAGCTAATAAACTACCGTGATCGAATGTGCGCTTAAAGACATGGTGTCCTCTCGGCCTTTGTGCACTAAGATGTTTACGTAGGCGTCTTGGGGCAGAAGGCACACTTCCACAGGACTCCGTGGCTCTCGAGCCTCATCCCCCGCTCCCGGCTCGCCCAGGCCGGGACACTGGCTCGGCGGGATGTCGGAGCCGGCGCCAATTCCTAGGGCTGGATCCGGGGCGAGCGGCAGCTTCGCGTTCCAGGCACTGTCTGGTAGCGGTTCCCGCCCTCCCAGCCCCAGCCTCACTTTCTGAGGCTGTTAGCAGAGAGCCCCCGCGGGCCAGGGAGAGGCGGGACGGTGGCGATGGCCCCTCAGCGCCCTCTGGGCGTCAAGATTCGTCGCCAGGCAGCTGGCGGTGGCCCAGCGCGGAGAAGAGTTTCCGGGGCTCGGGTCCACTCAGTCCTCCCCGGGAAGGAGCGCGGAAGCGAGTGGGCGGCGGGAGGCGGAGCGAGGGACGCGAGGGGCGTGGACGCGGCCGGCTTTGGAAAGGCCCCAAGTTAATGAGGCGTGCGCCGGCGGCCGAGCGCCTTTCAGAGCAGGGTTATCCCCCGCGCTGCGGGCGCCAGGAGCCGCCTTTTCCGCTGGGTGTCACTCGGGGGTGGGGGAGATGGCCCATTCAAAAGCGCCGCGAGGGGGCCCGGCCAGTGCCCTTCAGTGAGCGCTCGGAAGAGGACTGCAGAGGCCCGGCGGCTCGCAGCTCCGGGACCTTGTGGCGCATCAGGACGCGGCTGCCCCTCTGTCGGGACCCCGAGCCGCCGCCTCCACCGCCGCTCTGCCTCCTGCGTGTCAGCCTCTTCTGCGCGCTTCGGCCGGGTGGCCGCGGCAGGCGCTGCGGCGAGGACGGCGCGCGACTGCTGCTGCTGCCTCCGGCCCGGGCGGCTGGAAGCGGAGAGGCCGAGCCGAGCGGCGGCCCCCCTTATGCCAGGAGGATGCTGGAAAGCAGCGGCTGCAAGGCGGTGAAGGAGGGCGTGCTGGAGAAGCGCAGCGACGGGTTGCTGCAGCTCTGGAAGAAGAAGTGCTGCATCCTCACTGAAGAGGGACTGCTGCTCATCCCGCCCAAGCAGCTGCAACACCAGCAACAGCCCGGACAGGGGCAGGGGCCGGCCGAGCCGTCCCAACCCGGCGGCCCCGCTGTCGCCGGCCTCGAGCCGCCGGTCAAGCTCAAGGAATTGCACTTTTCCAACATGAAGACAGTGGACTGTGTGGAGCGCAAGGGGAAGTACATGTACTTCACTGTGGTGATGGCCGAGGGCAAGGAGATCGACTTTCGGTGCCCGCAGGACCAGGGCTGGAACGCCGAGATCACACTGCAGATGGTGCAGTACAAGAACCGCCAGGCCATCCTGGCGGTCAAGTCCACGCGGCAGAAGCAGCAGCACCTGGTTCAGCAGCAGACCCCGCAGCCGCAGCTCCAGCCTCAACCCCAACCGCAGCCCCAGCTCCAGCCCCAATCCAAGCCCCAGTCCCAGCCCCAGCAGCTCCACCCGTATCCGCATCCGCACCCACACTCGCACCCACACCCGCACCCACACCCACAACCTCACCCACAGCCGCACCCGCACCAGCAGCCGCACTCGCAATCGCACGGTCAGCGGCTTCTTCGCAGCACCTCCAACTCTGCCTGAAGGGGGCAGCACCCGGGCCAGACAAGGTAAGGTCCGGGCGACTCGGGCAATCGGGTTTCGGGACTTGGAACGCCGAAGAATGGATTGCCGGAGTGTTGGGGGTGGGTAGGGAGTTTGTCTACGAGTTTGGCTTTGGGTGGAGAAATAAAAAATCAATCCAAGTTTCTGGGAAGGTGGAAAGCAGGCAAGCAAGCTGGAGCCAAGAGAGGCCGGGCAGAGAGGGGAAGATGGGACGGGGCCGGGCAGGAAGGCGTCGCGGACTGCCTCCCCGCCGACCGGGTCCCGCGCTTGGTGGGTGGTGCGCACCCTAGCGCCACCGCTGGCTCTCTCGGTGTCACAAGCGCCACTTGACTGTGTCTGGACAACTTGAAGGAGTGTCCCCGCTGTCTTTCTGAGCACGCTTGGTCTGCCAGGCTGGTCCAAAAAGAACTGGGTCTGGAGAGATTCTTAGCCACCTACTTCATTCTGTGTCATTTCTTTCTAGGTTTTGAGGACTTGAGGAAGTGGGACGAGCACATTTCTATTGTCTTCACTTGATGGAAAACAAAACAGCCCCCCCCCCCCCCCCCCCACCAGATCAAGCAGTTTGGACATCACCCAACTGATAACTTTCGATCTCTTTAATTTTCTGCACACTCTTCATCACGATGCAGGAAACGATTCCGAGTCAAGACTTTATTTATGAACCTTTGAAAGGATCTTCTAGTATGATGAACCTTCTAGGAGTGATAATGTACTGTAATTTTATTTTAATGTATTTTGGTTTATGATTATTTATTAGTTTTTTTTTTAAATGCTTGTTCTAAGACATTTCTGAATGTAGGCGATTTCCCAAGAAAGAAACTTTATGTCTGAAAGACCCATTCCCTAGTGAGTCCTAATCTTGGAAAAGAAAAAAGAAAAAAAAAGAGTGGTGGAGGGGAAAACATTAAGAATCCATTCATTATTCCTAGGGCATTTTCAGAAGGTCTGACACTTTCATTGTTATGCCAGGTGGTTGAAATTAAATTCTGTGATACGACTTTTTTTGAGGTTTACTTTCTTTAGCCATGTTTTATGTAGATTAGAAGTTTAAAGAAGCTAAAAGTTCAGAATTGTGTAATTATGAAAATCAAATGCTCGAGATCTCGCTTTTCTAAAAGAATATCAGTAGTAATGGTATCTGGTTTCAAAATACCATTAAAAAACATATCCAACTGATAGCAGGCTGATCAGATCTTGAATATTATATGGTAGGGCTAGGTCTATTGTGGGAACAAGCTTTGCTTATATCTTCTGTGTGCGAGGAGTTTAATAAGCAGAGTCCTTTTGACTGTGATTTATAAGTATAAATGCATTTAAGTGTTTTATTTCAAAAAAGCAGGGGGGGAAAAAGAGAATCATTCAACTTACTGGAGATAATATACGTGCCCCATACAGACTATGGATTACCCTTCTCCAAGAGCAAGACCTTCCCACACTGATGTGAACCACATTTTCTGATTCTTTTACTTTGTTCTAGAAGCACACTGAAGAATCTCGTAGTTTAAAATACAGTTTGTAAATATTTTGAAGAACTACGGGTCATAACTTTTTGTTTTGATACAGAAAATAATGTTGATCAGGAAACCCAACTGTTTTGCTTTTTATCACCTATGAGAAATTTGCGGGTTATGTGTTTTGTTGTTGGGTTAGCAAAACTCAGAAATTGAAAAAAGAAGGGCAAGATAAACACTTGGTTTTCAGTTAGAAAACAGCCTCAGTCTTGTTTTAGCAGCCACTTGTTAGGGAATCTGGGGGAATAAAAAGAGGATGTGCTTTTAAAGGTAGAACAAACCCTCTTCTGTCTTAAATCAAAAGGATGGTCAGAATCCACAAGGGCAGATGCTGCTTTAAAAAGAGCCATAGATGATACCAAATCCTCTTGGGGCTGAAAGTCACTTCCTATATGCATGGTTTTACCAAAGGGTCTCTGTGTTTTCCATTTTTCACAAAGTCTAGCTCAGGATTTTTCCAGCATTCAAATTAGAATGATCAATATTAGGCCACTGTTAAGTTATATAGTTAAGATATGAAAATATAACTGCATTCTAGAGATACATTTATTCTCCCTCCATCTAGAAAGGAGTTTCAAGGTCAAATTATTTTTTAGTGCAATATTTAAATGATGAAATTTTGAGATCATGACTCTTATCCAAAAAGTTGTGGGGAAAACTAAAACTCAAGCAAATGGCAAACAAAACTTAAGTAGACTTCCAAGTTCAGTGGGTGTTTAGGTTATAGGTTGTGAAGCTACTCTGCAAAGATTTAAAAACTCATATATATATAAATATATATATACACATATACCCATTGCCATCAAGTTGATTCTGACTCATAGTGATCCTGTAAGACAGAGTAGAACCACTGCATAGGATTTCCAAGGCTGTAATCTTTACGGGAGCAGACTGCCACATTTTTTTCTTGTGGAGTGGCTGGTGGGTTCAAAGTGCTGATCTTTTGGTTAGCAGCCAAGCGCTTTAACAACTGCACCACTAGGGCTCCATATATATATATATATACACACACACACACACACACACACATATATATGTGTGTAAAGGGCTGCTTAGAGAGCCAGGTCTAAAGGAGATCTCTTAGGCCAAGTTTGGTTCAGTTGTCTTAGAATTACTGCTCTACTTTTTGGGGAATGCCCCATGCAGAGTAGTGTAGTTGTAATATGAGAAGATCATAATAACCCCAATTAAACCACGATTTTTTCCAGATGAAGGTTTTTCCTTCCACATTCCTGTGTTTAGAAAAGAAAAAAAAAAAAAAAGTAAAACCCATACCAAATAGTTTTTAAATGAAAATTCATGTAGGTTCTTAAAAAGACATTGGTATGTTTTTAGCTTACATATAGGGCTAGGTGGTCTCATTGTCAATATATATATGTGGTCTCATTGTCAATATATACATATATATGCCCAGGCTCCCTCTTAGCTGCTGGAATTATTCTTTTCCCCAGTAGCCATGTTTCTTAATAGGGCCACCAGAATCCTGGTTCCTTGTCTTTCCTCAGCACCTGCTCGTTGGTTGGCTGTGATATTTATGTTGAGTGACTCTCTTTGTGGCTCTCTAGATCTAGTCATTACTTAACTGTGAGACCTCTGAAATTAGAAAGGAGGGGAGTAGGATGGTTTTTGTTATTTTGACATTTTATGAAATTATCATGATTAATAATTTTTCTAGAGCAAAAATCTAAGCATGCTTGACAAAACAACATAAACACAAAATGCAAATCATTTACTTTCTCAGTGGCTTTAGTTTACCTGTAAGGCAATTATGATACCTGCCCTAACAAACCACTTAAGGTATTATGAGACCTGACAAATCAGCTTCAGGGAAAAAGGTAAAAATAATTCAGCCCAAGAAAGGAAAGAACAAAAGGACAGGTCCAATAGAAAACCCATCCTTTAAATAAACATAAAATGTAAAAAGTTGGAAAATTAAAAGGAATGTCCCATCTGGAAACTGAACTTTTGTCCTTAAACTTGTGTAGGCACCAAGCCTCCTACACAGTGAGCTCAATAACCATTTGTTGGACAAATGACTGAAAGAGGGAAAAAGTGTGTAACTCGCTAGGACCCAGCAGGTGGTTTCTCTTGCTTCATTCAGTGCTTCCTTTACTTGCTTGCATGTTGTCTTCTGAGAACAACTGATACTGGGACAGGCTAAGGATTTTGACAAGGCTTCTTAAACATAATTTCTTATAATGGAAATCCATATAGATTTGCGTCAGCCCTACGAGGAGTGCTGAGGTCAAAGAGTAACGGTTATGAACCCGTTGCTGTCGAGTCGATTCTGACTCATAGCGACCGTATAGAGTTTCCAAGGCTGTAATCTTTATGGAAGTGGACGGCACACATCTTTCTCCTGAGGACTGGCTGGTGGATTCGGTTAGCAGCTGAGTGCTTAACCACTGTGCCACTAGGGCTCCTAGGGTAATGGTTGTGACCCTTTCAAAGTTAACATTTTTCTCAGAGAGCAAGTTTGGATTCTCTCATCAAGTAGAAATCAAGCCAACTTTATGATTTCACTTCACATATTTTTCCAATGGGGGAAAAATACCTCTTACGCATGTGAACATTGTTAGGATGACAGGCTTAAGTTGAAAGGCCTGTTTTAACTCTTCTCTGTTATCATATAACAAACACTTTGTATTTCTCTTAAAGAGCCCCAATTTTAAATCTGACACTAAAATTGCTGCCAGCATGTGGGTTCAAACACTGCACTTTCTTTCTGTCCCCAGGGAAAGTGGCTTGGCTTTAGCTTGGCTCCAGGTGTTTACAATACCACATTCAGTAGCAGGCTTAGATGAGGAGTCTAAGAGTTGTAGGAAGCCTGGAGCAAAAAGAGCTTTGTGGGATGAGGATAAGCCTGTGAGCATTCTGTTTTTTCTCTCTTTCTCCGTAAATGTCAAACTAATTGGTTTTTGCTTTACCACTAAGATACTCTGTAAACCCTGGTGGCGTAGTGGTTAAGAGCTATGTCTACTAATCAAAAGGTCAGCAGCTTGATTTCTCCAGGCGCTCCTTGGAAACTCTGTGGCAGAGTTCTACTCTGACCTAAAGGGTCCCTATGAGTTGGAATCGACTCAAAGGCAGTGGTTTTTTTTTAAACTAAGATACTCTTAGTAGAATAAATTTTAAATCTGGAAGTTACAGAGCTTGGTTTTTAATTCATCAGTGATTCAAGATAAATGTACTTATTTATCTAAAGCAACCTAAGATGTAGTAATTGTAGAATTGTGTTAGATGGGTTTTTAGGAACTACCTTCTAAATTCTTGACAGTTTTGAAGGGGGACTTTTTGATCTGCAGATTTACATAAGATTGGGAGACAAAATGGTCTGTAACTTCATTGTTAGGACAGTTGCCAAAATGGAGCACAGGATCCAACAAGGTTTTCTTAGAAAGGACATTAGTGTCCAATGAAGGAAGCAGGAGGGTTCTGGGTCCTTAGAAGCATCTGCATAAAAGC